GCCGCGGGGTTCTCCGCCGAGCGACGGAGAAAGGAAGAAGAGTCGGAGGAAGAAGACATTTACCAACCTGAAATATTGACTGGGGAAAAGGCAGAGAAAACCGGAGGAGCTTAGCGCTGAGTGAGGAAAAACGGAGGAAAGTGAAGAGAAGAAGAAGGATACGGCTATTTAAAAGAGGGGGAATCCCAAAGGGTGGCCACGTGTCACCCCCTCATTGAAGGAGAGAAGGGTGACAAGAGGTGAAAAGACGCCGTAATTAATGCCTCGGAAAACGGGGTGACGGTTCAGACCTGGGGCTAGCCTGCAAGCGACGCGTCTACCCTAGGCTAGAGCCGAGTGGCAGTGACCCGGCCTGCTAAGCCTGAAGCCCATTGTAGGCCACGGCCTCTAGGCCCACTGGATCCAGGTTGGAAGTTTCCAGAAAAAACCCGATGGAATCCGGCCCTTCAATTAACGCGAGCAAGGCTCTCGAAGAGATTCTGGTCTCAGAGTCGAACACTCCGACTCGGCGACCCCTCAACGAGAAAGGCCCCGTTGGGGAAGGATCGGAAGTCGGTCAAGGAGTGCATAAAAGCAAAGCCAGACGAGAAAACACACAAGTTTATTCAATAAGCACGGAAAAGTACAAGGCCTAGAACTCGGCCGAATACAAGTTACAGGAGAAAAAACAGATCAGGGCTTGGCTTCCTTCTCCTCTGAAGGGCGAGCAGGCGGAGGACCCTCCAAGAAGTACTGGGGGCGGAAAGGCAGAGGACTCAGCTCAGGTTCCGGCATCTCATCCAGGTACACAGCCGGCTTCCCGTCATCGATCATTTGCAAAGGCCTCTCTAGGGCGCTCGGAGACATGGCCACGCCAAAGAGCGGAGGAACCTCCCACACTTCTTCCTCCTCTGGTTCCGGATCCTCCACCACCGGTTCCATCTCTACGTCGACCGGCTCCACAAGCATCAGGTCCAGCATGTCCGGAGGCACCACGATCGGGTTTGAAGTCGAGTCGCCCACCAAACGCCCTCCATTTGCTAGCCTCTTCTGTTTCAACTTCTCTAGACGAGCGTGCTCCTTGTTGCGGATGGACCAGCGGCGGTCACCGTCCCTGTAACTCATGGTTTGGCGTTTTTAGAAATGAGAACAATGTGACCCGCAAAGTCACAGAGGGTCCTTATATAGCCCTAAGGGAGCGATTACCCAGGCGGAAATCACGGAGGTAATCGTAACTGACATGCCTGAGCCGGACTAGACGGGTGGTGCAAATCTCTGTCAGAAGTTAGTTCCATCAAATCCTCTTGGGAAGGGCGCGATTCGCACGCTAAGCTGAAAAGGTTAGATTCACCCAAGATATGGGGAATCTTGCAGACGTCAGGCCAGAAAAGGACCTGACGATATGACCGACTCCTCGACAAGTCGGCCAGGAAGAGACGTAACAAGCACGGAACGCAGAATGAAGCAGGAAAAATACCATTTTATTAAGAGAAGAGGGGTAAAATGAGTAGGGAGCTTATTACAACAAAGATAATTAAAATGCTCCTAAGTAAACCCCTCGGAGACACAAAGCCGACCCTGGCCTAGGTGATCACTCGCCGGGCGAGGAAGAGTCGCTCCTAAAGAATCCCCCCGATGGTCCAGGGGGAGACGGGCAGAACGAATCCCAGAAGGCCGGCATGAGTGGAGGCACTACCGGCTCCTCGTCATCTGGATATGTCTCCAGATAGCGAACATAATCCTCGTCATCCATTAGGCCTGTAACCGGTCCGTCTAGGTCATCTAGTGGGATGGAGAAAGTCATGCAAAAAGTTAACTGCTCGGGGACGGCCACCTCCACGAAAGACCCGTCCTGGGAAGTCACCCTAGCAGTGGTTGGAGGCGGCGGATTGAGCGAAGTTGGAGCGATCTCACGCCGAGGTGGAGTCGGCGGCGGAAGAACCAAGGAGGTAGCACCAGCTGGAGACCTCTGAGGAGTCGGTCGAGGAGCCTTCTTTTTAGTTTCCCTCTCAGGCCTAGTCCTCTTCGAAGGGAGGGGGCGTCGAGGCGACCCGATGTCGATCCGCTTCCCCTTCAGAGGCGAGCGACCCATGACTGATCAGTGAGACAAGAGGAAGGGAGTAAGAGGCCATTTATAGGAGCTACGTGGAGACAGGAGAATCCAAATGGTTCCGTGGAATCCGTGGAATGGCAAGAAATCGGGGCGTTACAGGGGCTATTCAATGCAAGGATCCGGTAATTAAGAGAGCAATCGGTTACTACTTTCCCAAACCCGGGTTAGTGGACCGGGTATGGGAAAGTGAGGGACTAGTTGATGGGGTGAGGACCCCGGCCCAAGAAGGATTGGCCCAAGAGCAGGATCCAAGGTAAAGGACGTGGGCCAGCGTCGAAAGAGGCCCAGCGAGTGCTTGGGCCGAGCCCAGGGGTCGGCCCAGGCCCGGGCCCAAGAGATTCAGCTCGAAGTCGTTGAAGAAGCTCGGGGAGATCTTGGGCCGAGTCAGGGAGTCGGCCAGGGCCCAAGCCCAAGAAGAGACTCGGTTCGAGGGCCGTTAAGAGAGTTTTGAAAGAGCTTCATTCAAAAAAAAGGGCCCGGCCCAGGAGCAATGAAGGCATTGAAGGCCGAACTCGGTCAGAACATTATAAATCCATAAGAGCCGTTGGTCGGCCTGGTAACGGCGCCCAACAGCTCGACGGATGTAATTAGCCTTGAAGTCGACCATTAATGGCCTTCAAGTCGGTAGAGGGGGAGCCTGCTATATAAAGGCTCCTCCACCCTTGTAAAAGGAGACAAGTTGATACCCGGAGAAGGGAGAGAGACTTAAGATCATTACGAACGTTCCATTTTGCTTACGACTTATTTGTGAAAGGTGCATCCACCAACCAAGGTTGTGTTGGACCTCCCTGGGCCCGAAAACCCAAAAACCAACAATCATATGTATGTATAAATTCACATATAACACACCAAATAAAATAAAAATCACAAAATCTTGTGTAAGACCATCGTATATATGACATGGACAATTTTTTAGCAAAATTGTAATATATTTTCGTAGATCAATATTTAAAAATTACATTTTCATTTAAAAGTATTACATTGATTCACGTTAGGCGGTTTCACATGATCAACTATTATAAAATTATTATGAGGCAACCCTAACCAAATTTGTCAGACTATTAACTTAATTAGTAACCACAAGATTACAAGTTTGACTCCTAGCGGGAGCAATCTATTAACTTTATTGTTTTGAGCCGTTCAACTATATGAGCAACCTCGACTAGTTTACTTCATTGTGGTCGTCCTTTAATTTATTGACTAGGTTCACAAAGCGGGATTTACGTGCACGTGCTCAAGTAGTAGATGCGAGTTTCTCTAGTAACTCAGAAAACTATATACAATTAATTTTATATGATTATATGTCTAGATTCACTTTCAACAAATTTTACATATATAAAATTAATTTTATAGATTATATGTCATATTTGACGCAAACCATTTATGGACATATTTAATTCATATAAATCATTTATAGTATGAAATCGCAAGATATTAAGTTCATATGCATTCCATTTCATTTTTTTTATTCACTTAATTCCATCACATTTTAGAGTTATTTACTGCGAAAAAATGGGTAACCCCAATACCTCCATTTCCTTTTTGTTCTTCAATCTGTGCCGAGTTTTTGCATTGTGTAATGCAACAGGAGACGATGAAAGAAAGGTATAACATATTTATTTGGAAAAATGACACTTTTTCCCCCTGACTTATATACTTATAGCACTTTTCCCCCTGAATAATTCAAGTGGCTATTTTTCCCCCTGAAATGTTAAATGGACATATTTACCCTTAAAACAAATATTTCATTTATTTTTCTTCCCCAAAAAATTATGACAGCGATTCAGTTCAAACTGAGCAGACACTATAGCAACTAAACCGAAATATTCCAATTATAATTTAGAATCAAAACTTGATATTTAGAGTTTATTAAAATCGCGAACCGGAACGGCCGGTTAAAGTTCCAAACTGAAAAATAAAATAAAATACATTTATTGTTGAATTTAGACTATTTTAAAAATAAAAATAAAATGTTAATATAAAGACGATTCAAAATCACGAACCGGATCCGGAACCGCCAGTTCACGGTTCATATATGAGGGTTCCAATTAAAATACTTGTTTAGATAAGAACGTGAAAACAAATTGTATCCATCTAATATTATTTAATGGTCTAGATCAATCTAGACCATTAAATTATTAACGTTAAGGTGTGAACTATGGGTATTGTGTGAACTTATTTTTCAAGATGAGTGGATATGATTACGGTCTAATGTGGGTGCACGATATACCCTGTGCACGGTGCACAAGCTATCTTTGGCCCCCATCCACTTTACGCCATCCGTCTGGATTTTTTTTTTTTATTTTTTTTTTCCAAAGCTGTGTCTTGCTCTCTCGTGCATTCACTGTCGTCGCGTTGCTCTCTCTCCCAATGGTTGCGAAATCATTGATGGCTAGGTCCAATGGCAATCGCCAATCGAGGAGGAGTGCGTCCGTGATGCGTTCTTTGGAAAGGCATATCAGCGCCGGATTCGAAATCGCATGGAAGATATGTAGGCAGCAAACTAAGGGAACAAATCAAGATGATCTTTTTATTTCCTTTGTTAAGTGAGTTTATTTTAGGAAGACAATATTCTGCCTTCCTTTTGAATTATGTGAGTTTATTTTAGGAAGACAATATTCTGCCTTCCTTTTGAATTATGTACTAGCTGTGCTTAGTTTGCTATAAGTACCAAACTCTTAGAGAGTGAATAAATCAAGCATTGAAGTTTAAGAAATTAAGGAGCCGGAGACTCCAGAAACTCCTTCTATCTTTACATTATATTCCCAACTCCACTACTTTGCAACTTTCATTTTTCCTTCCTTACACCATAGCCAAGTCTGCCTCTTCACAAACCCCAGCTTCTCGCCCATTGACGAGAGCTTTTTGCCGAGAACATAACATTCTGGTTCAGTTGCCGGGCGTCAAAATGGGCGATATGAAGAAACTCCAGGACGAGGTCCGAGCTATCCAGGCTTCCGTTGAAAAGTTGGAACACCTTCCTGCAACTGTGGACGCTCTAACTGAAAACGTAGCCAACCTCACCCAGATGGTACACTCTTTCTTCACATCACCGAACACCGCTGCCGCTACTGTCACTTCTTCTCTGGGCACCCAAGTTCCAGAAACTGCACCACCACAGCCAGCTGATTCCACCCATCCGACTAGATTCACCAAACTTGAGTTCTCACTTTTGATGGCAAAAGCGACCCTCTTATTTGGCTCTATCGTTGTGAGTTGTTCTTTGAAAAATCGCCACATTCTGATCATGAGAAGGTTACCACTGCAGCATATTATATGTTTGATAGTGCCCAACTATGGTACAAACGTCGCTTGCAAGATGGTCAACTATTTTCTTGGATCCAATTCAAAGCTGCATGCACCCTCCGCTTCAGACCGCCCCGGAGCATCAACCCGTTAGGAGAGCTGGCAAACCTCAAACAACAGGGTCGGGCTGTCGATGACTTCATTGATGATTTTCAGCTCTTGCTCGCACGGGCTGACAATGTCTTGTACTCCCAACAGGTAAACTTATTCACTGCCGGCTTGGATGAGATCCTACGCATTGATGTTGAACGACTGAGACCTGATTCGCTTGATGAAGCCATTAATATTGCACGAGATTATGCTCGTAAAGGCACCCTGCTTCGTCCTACTACCTCCCAGAGGCCTTTCCCACCACAAACTCCACCGAGCAGTGCCATTACGGTACACCAACAGCCACTGGGGCAGAATACCACACAGTCTCGACCGCTGCGACCGAAGAAGCTTTCCTCGGCTGAGATGCTGGAACGGCAAAAACTGGGCCTTTGCTACAACTGTGATGAAAAATGGATTAAGGGCCATCGTTGCAAGCGCCACTTATATATGCTGGGAATTATTGAGGATGAGGAAGATGACGTGGATAATTGTCTGGAGGACTTGGAACCAGAAATCTCTCTCCACGCTATCACCGGCATAAACCATTCCCAAACAATGCAGATTCGTTTGATGGTTGCGGGTTCACCGATCATTGCCTTAGTTGATTCTGGGAGCACTGATAATTTCATCAATATCGCCACTGCCCACCGGCTTCATTTGCCTATCACCCCTCGCACTGGTTTGCATGTTGCTGTAGCTAATGGCGAACGCATGCCTAGCTCCGGAATCTGCCAGAACATGTTTTTACAGTATGATTCCATCTCCTTCATTGAAAACTTTTTTGTCATCCCTTTAGCAGGAGTGGAGTTGGTATTGGGGGTCAAATGGTTGCGCACGTTGGGCCCTATTTGGTGGAATTTTGAAACAATGCAAATGCACTTTGCGTGGCAGGGGACCGATGTGGTGCTTTCTGGGGTTTCAGGTTCTGGTCACCCATCTTTGCACCTCCTTCACCAGCTCCTCACTAAAACTGCAACAATGGATTCACTCCTTGACCACTTTGTATCAGTTTTCGGCACCCCTCAGTGCCTTCCGCCCTCTCGCAGTTGTGACCACAGGATTGTACTGGCGCAGGGAACTAATCCCGTGGTTGTCCGACCATATAGATATCCTCACCTTCAAAAAGATGAAATTGAGCGACAGTGCAGTGACATGCTCCATTCGGGGATCATTCGACCAGCAGATCTCCGTTTTCTTCCCCGGTCCTCTTAGTCCAGAAACAGGACCTCTCTTGGCGCTTCTGTGTGGATTATCGGGCGCTTAACGCGAACACCATCAAGGACAAGTTCCCAATACCCACCATTGATGAATTGTTGGATGAGCTCCACGGTTCAAAAGTGTTCTCCAAATTGGATTTGCGTTCCGGCTACCATCAGGTTCGTATGCACCCGGAGGACATTGCTAAAACAGCTTTTCAAACACATCATGGCCACTTCGAGTTTCTCGTAATGCCATTCGGCCTCTCTAACGCGCCATCCACTTTCCAAGCACTATGAATGAGGTATTCGGGCCTTATTTGCGTAAATTTGTGCTCGTATTTTTTGATGACATCTTAATCTATAGCGCAACGTGGGTTGAGCACATTCAACACCTCCGCCTAGTACTGCAGTTGTTACAAGACAACACGTTATACCTCAAACGTTCTAAATGCGTTTTTGGAGATCACCAAGTTAGTTACCTTGGACATGTGATCACTGACAGTGGCATTGCTGCAGATCCTAGAAAAATTCAGGCTGTTCTAGATTGGCCTACTCCGTCCACACTCACTGCCTTGCGGGCTTTCTTGGGCTTGGCTGGATTTTACCGATGATTTGTAAAAGATTATGGGGTTATTGCTGCGCCCCTGACCAACCTCCTACGCAAGCATTCCTTCAACTGGGACAATGATGCAGACGCTGCATTCGCTACTCTTAAAAGGGCTTTGTCTTCAGCTCCGGTTCTTTGCCTCCCTAACTTTGCAATAATTTTTGTAGTAGAATGTGATGCCTCCGGGGTGGGCATAGGCGTTGTTCTGCACCAAGACGGGCACCCTATCGCTTATTTCAGCCGCAAGTTGGCTGATCGGCACCTGAAATTACCAGCCTATGAGAGGGAACTCATTGGCTTGTCTCAGGCTGTCCGCCATTGGCGCCACTATCTGTGGGGGAGGGAGTTCGTCATCAAAACGGACCATTATAGCTTGAAATACCTGCTGCAACAACGACTCACTACCTCCCCGCAACAGCATTGGATGAGCAAACTTCTGGGATTTGATTTCAAGGTGGAATATAAGCCGGGGAGGCTTAATGTCGTGGCAGATGCCCTCTCGCGGCGGGACGAAGAGCCTAGCACTCTGTTTTCCATCTCGTGCCCACGTACCTCCCTTTTACAGGACATTCAGGATGAGCTCGCACAAACTACCGAAGGGCGTGCTTGGGTAGCCCGCGCAGCAGCTGACTCTACCAATGTTTGGACTGTTCGTGATGGTCTTTTGTTTAAAGGTACTAAACTGGTTTTGATTCCATCTTCTAAGTTTATTCCAGTTGTGCTATCCGAAATTCATGGCTCCACTCATGAGGGTGTTCAGAAGACGATCCATCGCATCCGAAGGGAATTTTATTGGCCTAAGCTTGCTGATTCTGTGAGGGAATTCATTGCCCAGTGCACCATCTGTCAGCAGCACAAGTGGGAGAACACACACCCCTCTGGGTTGCTACAGTCGCTCCCTATTCCGGAGCAGATTTGGTCAGAGGTTTCCATGGATTTCATCGTTGGCCTGCCGAAGGTCCAGGGGAAGTCAGTGATCCTAGTGGTTGTTGATCGTTTGTCTAAATACGCTCACTTCTTCCCATTGGCTCACCCGTATACAGCATCTTCTGTAGCATCCATCTTCTACGCCAATATTGTTAAATTGCATGGAATTCCAGAGAGTATAGTCAGTGACCGTGACCCATCATTCACAAGCTTGTTTTGGAAAGAACTTTTTCTGCTCTGTCGCACAACGCTGTCCTTTTCATCTGCGTATCACCCGCAATCTGATGGCCAAATGGAGGTGGTAAATCGCACAATCGAGATGTACTTGCGGTGTCTTGTGAGCAGTTATCCAAATCGTTGGGTGGACACTCTTCCGTGGGCAGAGTATTGCTATAATACTTCATTTCACTCTTCCCTCAAGACTACTCCGTTTCAGATGGTCTATGGTCGTGCTCCTCCTCGCCTAATCCCTTTCGAACCAGGAACGACGAAAGTGGCTGCTGTGGATGACCTCCTGCAGATGCGAGACGAGATTTTGACCCATGCGCGTCATCACCTTCAAGAGGCTCAGGTCCGTATGCGAGAGCAATATGATAAGCATCACAAGGAGGTAAACTTTGAGCCTAATCAATGGGTTTGGATTCGTCTCCAACACTACAGGCAGCATTCTCTTGCCCGTAGGAAATTCCATAAGCTGTCTCCAAGATGGTACGGGCCCTATAAATTTTTACAACGCATTGGTCCTGTGGCATACAGAGTAGAACTGCCTGAGAATTGCAGAATTCATAATGTCTTTCATGTCTCTAAACTGAAAGCTTTCGTGGGTGATCCTCCTTCGCAGCTTCCGACCTTGCCACCAATCACGGATGGTCGACTAGTCCGCCAACCTCAGAGGGTTCTGCGCTCTAGGCTCAATCGTGGTTCACCGGAGATTTTAGTTGTTTGGAAGGGTATTTCAGCAGATGACGCCACTTGGGAGCAACTGCATGACTTTAAGCTCCAGTTTCCTTCTTTCAAGCTTGAGGACAAGCTTGTTGTCCAGGAGGGGAGTAATGATGCGTTCTTTGGAAAGGCATATCAGCGTCGGATTCGAAATCGCATGGAAGATATGTAGGCAGCAAACTAAGGGAACAAATCAAGATGATCTTTTTATTTCCTTTGTTAAGTGAGTTTATTTTAGGAAGACAATATTCTGCCTTCCTTTTGAATTATGTGAGTTTATTTTAGGAAGACAATATTCTGCCTTCCTTTTGAATTATGTACTAGTTGTGCTTAGTTTGCTATAAGTACCAGACTCTTAGAGAGTGAATAAATCAAGCATTGAAGTTTAAGAAATTAAGGAGCCGGAGACTCCAGAAACTCCTTCTATCTTTACATTATATTCCCAACTCCCCTACTTCGCAACTTTCATTTTTCCTTCCTTACACCATAGCCAAGTCTACCTCTTCACAAACCCCAGCTTCTCGCCCATTGACGAGAGCTTTTTGCTGAGAACATAACAGTCCGGCAATCCAATCGCGCCGCCGACACCGGCCTCGGCCGATTCTCTCGGGGGCAGTCGGCGTCTCGTTCGTTCAAGCGCTGGGCTGGCCGCCGTCCCTTGCCCTCCTCGGGCTGCGGGGGAGTAGCTTCCAGGGTCTCCTGCGCGCCGGTGGGCACAACGAGGTAAGTGTCGGTTCTGATGCTCTCTTTGCATGTCGTTCGTAGTTAACTCATATCGTAGAGGTAGAGTAGTTTTGTATGCTGGAATAATGAAGGGGTTTGGGGCATTTTCCATGGGGGTGTAAAATTTCGGTTCCTGGTTCCATCAAACAGGAATTCCATATTGCATTCTGTGTTTTTCCAATGTGCATTTGAACTAGCGTATTTATTAATTTTTGTTAGTATAAGTGTAAGGTAAATGAAATGAGAGTAGGTTTTGTTAGTCTGTTTCAATGTGTATTAGCAGAATTAAGGTAAGAGAAAATGACACCAGTGTTACCACCTGCAGAGGTTATTGTTAGTCTGGTTCAATATGTTTTTGCACTGAGTTCCCTGTCATCTTGTTTGTGCTGCTCTTTTTGCTCTCAACATTCATGGGAATTCTTGCATAATGCAAGAATGGACATAATTGGGTTCTTGCGCATCTTCAAAAACATTACATACAATATACCCTCTGATTTAAAGTGGAAGAAAATTAAACTTAAGATCACATAAAAGTTTTAGCTAGCAATAAAGGAAAATTAAACCAACCTTAAAACACTATAAACAAAAGGTTTTTTTAGGTGATTATCCATTTACACTACCACTAGGAGTGAAGATTGCACAAGTTCTTCAAACGTGTTGGAAGGGGCCTCAACCTGTTAAACCAACGGTAACCTCCGACTATCGAAGCCAGCACGTGAAAAGCGGAACAAAAAAGATCTTCGTTTCAAATGCAGAAGACGTGGAATTACGTAGAATGCCCATGTACTACCTGTGGCAGGGTGCACTAAAGTAGGATGTGTAATTAATTTTGTGCCTTTGGATGCGTTACACCAATTCACCATAGCAGTCCACAAATTCACACGTTTAATATATATATATATATATATATATATATATATATTTAGGGTTGAGTTCGAATGAGGACAACAATATATAAAGGTCTGTGTGGACAAATAATGGGTACACAACAAATTAATACATAATGGGACACAAGAATACATTTAAATTAATTAACAAATCTATGCACACGACATACAAACAGTGGCACACGACTACATTCGGTCATGCACACGACATACAGGCTAATGGCACACACTACATCTGTTATCACAGTCATCTATAATATATTTGTCCTCATTGATTTCAATAACAAAGGTTTTAGGTTCCAACCCCATCCCAATCAATGTTGGCATAATTAGTACTCTATTTTACTCTTATTAAATTAAAAATAATAATTTATTAGCTACAACAAAAAATAATACATATGCATTTCTTTAATTTAAAACTATGTGCCTACACTGTCTTTATTCAAAAAAAAATATTCATTATCAATAAATTAAATAAGAGAAATAATTTCGTTAGTTATATTGTATTTATTTTTTCCCAATATAAAAATTCTATTACATTCAAATTCATCAATTGATTATATTCGTTGCATTGTCCCTACAATGTCTTTATTAAAAAAATTATTCATTACCAATAAATTAATTAAGAAAAATAATTTTATTAGTTATATTGTCTTTATATTTCTCCAATGTAAAAATTCTTTACATTCAAATTTATCAATTGATTATATTCACTACATTGTCTATTATCTTTTTGTGCACTATTTTTTAATTAAATATCAAAGTTATAATACAAAATAATGCTATAGATTTATTTACCAAGTATTTTATTAATACCATGGAAAAATTAAAAATATATATATAATTAAGCCAATCATATTAATTAACCACTTGAGGGATTTGTTGACAAAGAAAGTATTCAAATCACACAACAAATTGAAGTAAGAATTACCTCGCAATGTCCTTGTTTAACAATCAGCAGTTAGCGGTTAGCATTAGCGGATTATATTCGCAAATTTGACCAACGAATTATATCAACGGTTAGTAAAAAGATATTTGAAAAAATTAGTTGTTTAGATTAACATGTAAAATGACCTATGGGTATATAATAATAATAATAATAATAATAATAATAATAATAATAATAATAATAATAATAATAATAATAATAATAATAATAATAATAATAATAATAATAATATTAATAATAATAATAATAATAATAATAATAATAATAAATTTAATAATAATTGTTTTAAAAAATAAAAAATATAATCATACTAACTACTTGGGGATTTATTGACAAAACAAGTATTCAAATCATACAACAAAATGAAGTAGGAAACTATCTAGCAATGTCCTTGTTTGGCAATCAGCAGTTGGCTCTTCAATATTAGTATATATTTAATATTTTATGCTCACATTTTTATTTGCTCTCCCTTATGTCCCGTATTTGGTTTCAACCATACCTATACAATTATTTTATTGATAATTATAATCAATCTTGACTATATTATCTTGCATTTGTAAACTTAGAATTACCTATTTAAATATGTCAATTTAACATTCAATTATCTATGCATGAACAATTTCAATATAATCTTGCTCTTCCATTATCTAGCGTTATTACAAAGTTGCAAACATTTATTTTAGTGACAATATAATTATTATCAATCTCTAATATATTATCTTGCATTCATATACTTTAAATTACTATTTAAATAAACAAATCCAACATTCAATTATCTAGTGGTGGACTGCACTGACCGCATGTTTAGATCTGACCGTACTGGAACTTAGCTATATGTGTGTGTGTGTGTTTGTGAAGATGATAAAATTATTTTATTGTTCAATTATCTAGACAATAATCAAATACAGTACTATTTTTACTGTTCAATTCTTCAATTTTTGTTTTTTATTTTTTGAATGTAAAAAAGAGAAAAAAAAAAAATCTCTATTTTCTTTTTCTTTTTTTTTTAAAAAAAAAAATGTCTCCATAAACGCACCCGAAATTGCAGACTTGGAATATGATTTCATTTCGCGCACTTTATTATATTCTTGGACTTGATGATCCGATGATTTATAATGCAAATCCAGTAAGTGTGTGATGTCGTTGTATTATGTTTGTCTTACCTCAAAAGGCTGAATCCCAAACCCTAAACTATTATGTTTCTCTATAACAATAAACAACGTGAAGTGTTCAATTGGTTATACTAAATTAGCAATTTTGGACAACCAGTCAAATTAATTAAACAGTTAATTTGATAACCACAAGATTTTATGTTTGATTTTCAATGTAGTTTATTGACCTTCTTGTTTTGAGTCAGTCAATTATAAACAACTTAAGTTGGTTTACTTCATTGTACTTCATTACAAGTTAAAGTCACAATGTGAAATTTACCCAATATACACTCTCAAATAGTGACTATATTTCGTGGTAAAAAAAATTAAAAAAGAAAAAAAAATCACACCTGATGGCTTCACTTTTCCAAAGCAATATAGACAACAAACGTGTAATCCATGATGGATTCGGAGAATATTTTAAAAGAAAGTAAACGCATTTATTTTTAACTTTTTTTCATATTGCTTGTATTGCTAATTGATATTCAAATCCATTTGATCTACTTTTTTTTTAATGTAAACCACAATGTGGCCCGGGTCTTTCTCTGTCCGTTTAACGGTCTAGGTCCACCTGGTTCGCTCCGAGAGGCACTGAAAGTGACCCAGAGGGAATCGTCACTTGTGGAAATTGAACTCGGGTTATCTCAAAATTCTTCCTCACAAAAAAAGCTCATTTGCCACTTGAGCTACCCTGTTGGGTTCCATTTGATCTACTGCCTCTTGATACATTTATTTTATTTTGTGTGTTTATATTATACAAGTTCGAGCATCCCACCACCTTTACTCTAATAAAATCCACATAGGCTTGATATCATTTCTGATCTCCTTTATTTAATTAATGACCATTATAATTTCATTCAAATGTTTCTATTCAATATTATATAATTTCTATATAAAACATGATGAACAATATATTATTATATTTGTTAGGTCGAGGAGACCTAATTTACTTATCATTCACGCATTACGGTTCTATAAGGGGGTTTTGGTGGGATGGAAGTCAAATTTTATGGAAAATGTTTTCCTAATAAAAATATAGGAAAATGTTGTTTTATGTTGATGAAAAATCTTTTCTATTGGAATTTGAGTTCGTCAAGTTGAAGGAAAATAAAATCGGTATTTTGTTTTTCAAAGGATTTGGGAAGAAAGTATAACAATATTGGACTATTTTACCCTCATCAAAGTTTATTAATTACACATGTATATATTATTGTTAAAGGCAGATTGATCTTTATATTCACAATTCCTCACCATTTCAAACCCAACCAAACAATAGAATTAATATTCCTAGTAATTTCTTTTTCACCAACCAAACAATATAATCTATTTTCCTAGTAATTTGTTTTTCATGGTGAATTTCATTTCCCATCAAATAATTTCCAGCGAACTAAACAAGCCGTAAGAATATGTTGCACATGTAACATGTAATACTTTTTTTTTTTTTGAAAAATTTCTGCGGTGC